ATTTCATACATGTCAAGTTGTACAGATTGGCTATTTACACAGATTTGTCATTTTGCAGGTAAACAGACGTATAGAGAAATCTCACATATTTTCATATTTTACAGATTTTTTTCAAAAACTCAGTTTCAAATTTATTTAAAATGTATGGGCCTGTTGGACGTTAAAAAAAACAAACAACATCAAATATCCATTTCCAACCCAGTCTGCTGCTAGAAATAAGTTCTTCTGTCCTCATTCCTTCTGATTTTTATGACTAATATGTATTTTTTGCAAAAATTACAGATTTTTGAGGCTCATTATACAGGTAAACGCCCGAAGGGGTTGACATGTATGAAATTTACACAAAAATGTCACAATTAGCACAGAAATAGTACTATATGGCATTTAAGGCACAATTTAGACAATTTATCTGCAAAAGAAAAAGTTGACTTTGGAGTTAGTTAAACATGTGAATTCAAGGAGAACTCTGACTTTTGACGGTGTTCTGGTAGATATGGACCACCACCAGGGTCAACCGATGCTCCTTCTCTATCACTTCCAGGAAGGCCTCGCCGCTCTCCAGCTCGTGGACGCATTCGAACTTCGGCCCGAAGCTCAGGCGCTCGTGCATTTCCTGCATGCACTGCTTCCTGTAGCGTTTCAGGCCACGCTCGTCCTCGTTTTGGATCAGCTCATACTCCTGGGCGCTCATCTGAGTGCAAACAACGCATTCTGTTCACGCTGTCATTAGTGTGTACAGTACTGAGTGAGAGGCGGCTTTGTGTGTCCCCACACACCTTTCTGTTGGACCTGTCCTTGTCGTCCTCTCGAGGGTTGGACATTTGTCTCAGCAGCTCTCTCTTTTTTTGAGGGACGGTCTGATCCACGCTGTCCAACTTGAACCTTCGCCAGTCATTGATGACACCTTTTGGACCTGGACACACCAAAGACATACAGCCACAAAAACATAACTTCCTGCAGACATGCAAACGATTACCATAATATTTTTGTAATAAGAAAAAAAAAAACTATGCATCTTTTATATTCTACAGCTACCATTATTGAAAC